GGATAAAGGGTTGGGAAGCAGCTGGAGGGGGGACACCAGAATTGCAGGATTTGGAGGACATTTCTCCTGAGTTTTCCTGCTCAATCCCTGAGATCCCTCGAGCTCCAAGTCTATTCCATGGGATGTGTCCTCCCCTCCCCATATCCAAAATCTTCCCACCACACCACTCAAATCCCTGCCAAATCCCAATTTCTGCTGAGATTATCCATATTCCAACCCCTCCAGAAGTATTGAAACTTCCCAACTTTATCATTGCAGATAATTTATCTTTCCTCTAAATTAATTAAAGCACTCCTTCTCTGACCCTTTCTTTTTCATCTGGGAACTCACGTTCTGGAGAGAATTCCAAACTCCCTCCTACTTTTTTTTCCTGCATGTTTCCTCCAGAGCATCCTAATTAATGATCGTTAGCTTCAACGCCTCCAGATTATTGCAAATGAGTGATGCCTCCCTAATTAATAACGTCTTAATCACGTTATCAACCTTTGCCATTGCCAGACAGACTGCACAGAGAGGGTTCCTTCATTTGGGAAGCTCTCCATGGAAATGATGGATGGTTTGGAAGGAATCCCTCTGTGTTCGACACGTGTTTTTACCCATGTTTATCCCAAACACCCCATTCCAAGATAACGTTATCAGCAAAGGCGTTATCAGAGCAGATTTCCTTTGCTTATCACATGCTCTAGGTGTCAGGGTTAACAAGGTTGGGAATCCTTGGATTTGCTCTCCTTCACCTGGGATAATTGCAATTAAAACATTGATTGTTTTAATCTGTTGCAGATAAGGAGTGACAACCACACGGGGCTGGCATCTCCAGGCCTCGCATTCCAGAAGGTTTTTCAGTGCAAATCTGGGAAATATTACAGAACTTTATTCCCCTCTAGTGGCACATCCACAAAAATCCAGCTGAATATCCAAACTGCTCCTTCCACAGGGATCAGATTTTTTTTTATTGCCTTGTTTCCCAGTCCAAATATCCAGGTGGTGTTTGGTTATTAAATTGATTTTTGATACATGGATGGAGGAGGAGAGATTTCCAGCTGCTGCTTTTTCCAGGATGGGAATGGGGATCACAACACGTTTTCCTGGAAGAGATTCACCTGTCACTCACCACAGGATAAAATCAAGAATTATTTGGAGTTTGAGAAGAACTGATGGGAAGAGGAGCATCTTGGGAGAGTCGGCATCACCTGCCTCCCAATCCATGCATGGAAAAATGGGATTGAGGGGCTCAATCCCATTTTTTAGAGGGGATTATTCCTAGAGGAATTTGTGAGAGGGGAACTATTCTGTGGCTGACGTGACTTTTTATCCTGCAGGAGAAGGAGGCTGAGCCCATCTGGGTGTCCACATGGTGAGACTGGGATCCAGGGCTGGGAACACTCCTGGAATGCCCAACTGGGCTGCTTTGGATGGGTTCACCCTCTAAAACAAATCTGGAAAATGAGAGAGATGTGGAAACCCAACAGAAATGGGAGAGAAAGAATAACATCAGTGGGGAAAATCCTGATATCTGTGAAATGTAAAATATTCCTCTTTTTTAAGCTTTTCTGGCAATTTTGGTTGACTCCAGAATTCCCCAGTTTCCAACTTTGGATTTGATTACTCGAGGCAAAGTGGAAGAGGGAAGCTCATGGCACCTCAATCCCCTTGGGAAGAAAAAAAAAAATAAAATCCACTTTTTTAGCTCCAGCACTGACTGAAAACTTCCTTTTAAAAATTAATAAACGATGGAATTAACAGCAGAATTTCCTTCAGAATTCTTTTCCTAAAATGCAAGAGTGGCCTCTAGTGGTATCATCTCCTGAGCTGTCCTTCCCAGGATATGAAAAACAAGTGATTTGACTTATTAATTAGCAATAAATAATGAGTATCAGACTTACTAATTAGTAACAAAACATAATTAGAAAATTTAAGAACTCTTTTGGGAACTCAATTCTCTTTTCCCAATAATTTTTTTGCTCCTTATCAATACTGATCTTCCCAAGCCAACCTTATATCAAAAATTAGACTGAAAAGAGGCAAATTTTAAATTTGTATTATTTGGGACATTTGATGCTCTTACAATAGGAGATAAAGATAATTCTTAATATTTTTAATAATAAATTAAGACTTGGAATAAACTTTTGTTTTGGGTTTGGTTTGGGGACTGGTTTTGGCCTGGTTTGGGGTTTGGTTTGGGGTCTGGTTTTGGGCATGGTTTGGGGGGCTGGTTTTGGGCTGCTTTGGGGGCTGGTTTTGGTCTGGTTTGGGATCTAGTTTTGGTCTGGTTTAGGGCTGGTTTTGGGGTGTGGTTTTGGTCTGGTTTGGGGTGTGATTTTGGTCTGGTTTGGGGTCTGGTTTTGGCCTGGTTTGGGGTTTGATTTGGGGGCTGGTTTGGGGTTTGGTTTGGGGTCTGGTTTTGTTCTGGTTTAGGGCTGGTTTGGAGTTTAGTTTTGGCCTGGTTTTGGTCTGGTTTGGGATCTGGTTTTGGCTTGGTTTGGGATCTGGTTTTGGCCTGGTTTTGGTTTGGTTTGGAGTTTAGTTTTGGCCCGGTTTGGGGTCTGGATTGGGGCCTGATTTAGGGCATAGTCTGGGGCCTGATTTGGGGCTTGGTTTAGATCTGGTTTTGGCCTGGTTTTGGGGTCTGGTTTTGGTCTGCTTTAGAGTCTGGTTTGTTGTCTTTTTTGGGATCATCTCCAGGGCTCTGCTGCAGAATTTTCATGCAGCACTTACTGAGAGCAAAGTAAAACATTTTTTTTCCCAGGATAAATCCACACATCCCACATTTGCTGTCCCCTCAGGAACACTCTGAGCTGGACTCTCCTTCTCCCACCTAATCAATGAATAAATGATTTTAAAGCATTGAGAAACCACTTTTGGGGGTGGTGATCAGCGCCAGCTCTCTCCAAAGCTGTGCAAATCACTCTGGGGGATTATTTGGATTATTCCTGGTTTATTTCCCTCTTTTTGCTGCCAATTTCAGCTCCTGCTTTGTGCAACTGCCTGGCAATTCTCAGGTTCAGTGGGAAGGAAAATGATAATAAATAACTGTGCCAAAAAAAGACAATGGTTTTGAGCTGCTCTGGAAGTTTGAGTAAAGCAGCAAATCCCACAAATTCCCTTACAAAACTGAGGGGAAAGGGTTGAGTGAGGATGGTGTTTCCTGGAGAGGGTTTATCAGGAATAGACCTTGCACAAAAAGCATCACTTATTTCTAGTGAGAGTACTTCAATCACGGGGGAAAAAATGTGGGAAGAGGAATTGCATAGAAATCCTTTCTGGATTTCTAGAAATGTTTGGATCTGGCTTTAGGTGCTGAAAATTGGAACTTTTTGCCCTGAGGATGGCTCTGTACAACAGAAAATCCAGTGGTTATGTTGTGCTGCTCCTTGTTCCTTGCTTATTCCTGTGTCACAGGGAATGGCTCTGCCCAAAACAGGGCAAACCCAGCCCGGCCATCTTCAGGAGAATCCTGGGAATGAGGGCAAAAACCTCCTGGGAATTATGGCAAAAACCTCGTGGGAATTATGGCAAACACATCCTGGGAATTAGGGTTAAAACCTCCTGGGAGTTATAGCAAAAACTTCTTGGGAATTATGGCAGAAACCTCCTGGGAATTATGGCCAAAACCTCCTGACAATGATGGCAAAATCCCACTGGGAATTATGGTAAAAGCCACCTGGGAATTACAGCAAAAACCTCCTGGGAATGATGGAAAAAAACCCTGGGAATGATGACCAAAACCTTCCTAAAGTGGTAGGGCTGGGGAGGAATAATGGGAATTCATGGCCAAGCTCTGTTCTGGACCAGGCAGGAGGAGGAATTTCCCTTAGGAAAGCACAAGATTCCATTTTATATGGAATGGGAATGCTTTGGTTGAGAGGGACCTTAAAGCCCATCCATTTCCAACCCCAACACCTCCCAGGCTGCTCCAAGCCCCGTCCAACCTGGCCTTGAACACTTCCAGGGATGAGGCAGCCACAGCTTCGCTGGGAATCTGTAAAAAAAAATCTATTAATATCTCATCTAAATCAACCAATTTTTTGGTCAAACCCATTCCCCGTTGTCCTGTTAAGAATTCCTATTTTTGGAGCTGCAGGACGAGGTGCCCTTGGTGCCCGGCAGTGACTCGTGGCAGGGCAAGCTGTGTCCTCCCCGTGCTCCTCCAGGCGTGGCCCTTTCCTCGGGAGCACAATGACCTTCCCGACCTTCCAGCTCAAGCTGTTCCCACAAAAAAAAGGAGCTCCAGCTGCTCCACAAAATCCCTTTTGCACCGAGCCTTGCAGTTGGTTTGGGAAACTTGCCCGGGAAAAGCTCTTTCACGAGCTCAGCTCAGAGCCTTTCAGAATTCTTGGTCTTATCAGGAGTTTAAAACAGCAAAAAATGAAATGTAAAGTCTTTGGGGTTTTGGTCTTTTTGGGAATTTAATGTAAAATCCTTGGGTTCTTGGTCCTCTCAGGTATTTAATGTAAAATCCTTGGATTCTTGGTCCTTTTGGGAATTTAATGTAAAATCCTTGGATTCTTGGTCCTTTTGGGAATTGTTGAATTCCCTCTTTTTGCAAGTCCCTATTCCTCATTTTTCTGCTGATTTTTGACTTTTTTTCTCCCAAAGGGACAAAATCCAAGCTCTATAAATCCACTCTGTAAACAGGAATATCCTTCCCTGAATGGGATTATTATTCCCAAAAAGCAAGCTGTCATTCCAAGAGGCAAAATCCTGTTTATTCTGGAGACACCAGCACTGCTTACATAAAATCCAGACTAAATTAAAAGCTCCCATTTGGACCATTCCTGGACCGAGGCTAAAAAAGTGTGGGCACGAAAATTATGGAATTCTGGAATGGTTTGGGTTCAAGCTGATCCAGGTCCATGGGCAGGGACAATTCCCACCATCCCAGGGTGCTCCAAACCCAATCCAGCCTGGCCTTGGACATTCCCAGGGATCCAGGAGCAGCCACAGCTGCTCTGGGAAATCCATTCCAGCCCCTCCCAAGGAAGAATTCTTTCCCAATATCCCATCTGCATCTCCCCTCTTTCACCTCAAAGCCATTCCTGCTTTTCCAGCTCATGCAGAAATCCCTGAGATTTTATTGTGTCTTTGTTGTTTCCTCTTTTCCCTTTCTCCTGCTTAAAAAGATGCCGAAAACTCCCAAAGAAAAATTCTTTCCATGTGATCCCAGCACTTTCCCTCTTGGCTGGAACTCTGGATGTGGTTTTGGGTTGTGTGGTGGAGTTTTTTTCATCTTTTTTTTTTTTTCTTTTTAATTTTAAATCCTTTTTTTTTTTTTCAGTTTTTATTTCCATCCCTGGGAGAGGCCCTGCAGAATTCCAGACTGGCAGCAAACCCCGAGGAAACCGGAGCAGGACAACGGTGCAGGAGCCCGGCACAAGTTGGTGCAAGCAAAGAAAACCAGGGAAAAAATTCCTTTTGCCAAGGTTTCCTAAGGATCCAGCCTGACTTTCCGTGTTTCTCTTGGATCTCAGCACGGAAGCTGAAGCAGCAGCAGCTGAGGAACAGCAGGGGAAGGAAAATCCAGGGATTCTGAGGCACCAGGTGAGTTCCAGAGATCGGGATAAAGGGATAGGATCCCCTGTGGGAACAGAGCATTCCCACCGCGCTGAGCGGATTCCTTGGGAAAAGCGGGAATGGCGGGTTTGGAGGTGCTGGGGTGGCTTTAATTTGTCCCAGTTCAAATTCCCTGTCCCGTTATCCACCCTGCACAGCCCAGGACGGAGCTTTTCCCAGCGGGATGGGGATGGAAGGAAGGAAGGAGCCGTTTCCCGGAGTCTCCACAGGCGTGGAAACTTCCAGGGAATTGCGCTTCTCCAGCCCTTTGGAATGTGCGGGATGGGAGCGTGGCCGGGCGGGATCCAGGCACAGCATCCTGGGGGGGAAATCCCAAGTTCTCGCTGAATTCCCAGCATTGGCAAATCCCGGGAAAGCTGCTTTTCCATCGGGAAGGGTGAAGGAGGGATCGGTGCCCGCCGCTTCCATCAGGGGCGTTTGTCCTGCGGGAGAAGCTGCCCTGGGAATGACTTTTACTGGAATTCCTGCTGAATCACCGCCTGGGCTGGCTCGGGAGCCGGGAATTCTGCCAGGGAGCCGCCCAGCCTGGAGCAGGGACAATTCCAGGACACTGCAGGAGTCAGAGGTGCGGGCAGGGACACGGAGAGGGACAGAGGGAAAAGCTGCTCCTTGGGAATGAGGAACATCCTCCTGCTCCCTGTCCCAGTGCAGGGTGAAATCCTGGGATAAAGATAATGGAAAAGGGAAAAGCTGTTCCCTTGGGAATCACACACATCCTCCTGCTCCTGTCCCAGTGCAGGGTGAAATCCTGGGATAAAGAGAAGGAAAAAGGGAAAAGCTATTCCCTTGGGAATCATGAACATCCTCCTGCTCCCTGTCCGTGTTCCCTTGGGAATCACGAACATCCTCCTGCTAGGACAGGATGGAACCTTGGGAATTTGCAGGAATCCAGGTGCACAGGAGTTTCCATCCAGGCACAGCCTCTCCCGCAGTTCCCCCCATGGAATTGTGTTAAATCCATCCAATCCCCCAGGGGTGCAGGGATATTTCCTTGGGAACCTCGTCTCTTCCCATTCCTGCTGAATTCCTGGTGAATTCCCAGCAGGTGAGCACCCCACTGGTTGCTGCTCAGGGAATCACCCCCACTGGAAACAGACCCAGGCTCAAAAAAGCACCAGAAAATGAAAAATAAACTGGATAAATGGAAAAAGAGCTGCAAATTCCCAGACAAATGTTCACCAGCTCCACTCCTGGATCTCTCCATGGTTGGATCCTGTTTTTCCCTCCATTCCTGCCTCTCTCACAGCTCCAGCAGCACGTCCAGCCCCTCTTCTCCATCGTCCCAGGGTTGGATAAACACCCCGGACAAGGACCTCACTCATCCTCCAACCACAACACACAGTGGGAATTCCTAACCCGCTTCCTTTTTGGGATGCAAATATTCCTGCCTGGGAGTTCTCAAATCCCAAATTCTGCCACAGCCCAGCTCCTGAAGGATCTCCGGGATATTTTGTCTGACAGGAGCTGCCGGAGCTTGGCACTGGAATCCAGCAGCATTTTCCTTGGAAAACACACAAAATCCTCCACCACAAGGAGCTGCCCACTAAGAAATTTTAGATCCTCCTGGGGAAAAAAATAAATCAAATTTTCCGAGAGGAAGTGCAGTGTTGGACAATCCCAGCCCTGAGGATGCCTCGTTTCCTGCTGCTCCCGATCCAAGGAGCTCCGGAGCCGTGAGGAGCTTCAGGCTGGAGAGGAAATCAAAGGTAAAAGGCACAACTGGAATCTTTTCCATATTTCTGGAATGGTGCTGAGCTTTGGGGCTGGCACACCCGTGAGTTTTCCATGGAGGTTTTGGGTTTAACTGTGGGGTTTTAATCAAGGTTTGTCCAAATTAAAAGGGGCAATGCCTGGTGTTCTCCATGAATTTAAAGCAAGGATATTCATGGATTTCTTTTCCAAGTAAAGCCCTAGGAATAACAGGATGGAAAATATCAGCAGGAATTCAGAGTGTGGCTCAGGGAATCCCAGCATTCCCGAGGTTGGAAAAGCCCTCCAAGGCCATCAAATTCATCCTGGGCTGGTTTTTAGGATTTTCTGCCCATTTAATCTTCCTGTGTTTCCATTCCCGGTTGGAAACTCAAAGATGGCTTTAAAAATTAATGGAAATTAAAAAGGATTTAATTACGTGGAATTCAAGCCATGAATGCTGGTGGAAAAGGGGGATTGATCCCTCCTCCAGCTGCCACTGGAATGAGGTACAATTACAAATCCAAAAGTATTTCCAGTCCTGATGGATTTCAGGAAAGAACATTCCCTGCTCTCAGAGGGGAAGTCATGATTTTCCTGATAATAGGGATTTCTTGGATTTCCAGGAAGCAGCAAAGGTGTGACTGACACTACTTTTGCAGCAGGGAAGAATGGGAAGAAAACATTTCCCGGGAATGTTGGATCCCACTCCTGACAAGTTTTTCCTCTTTTCCCCTCCCTGGCTCATTTTGTTCCGAGGGAAGCAGCTCCAAGGCTGGAAGTTCTCCCTCTTGGTGTCCACGGAGTGAAATCCATGAAATCCATGAATCCTGGATTTCCAATGGAATCCAGAACCCCCTTCCCGACCTATTCCAGGAATTCCAGCTGGTGGAAGAGGAGCCATTCCCAGCCCAGGGTCAGCCCGAGTCCATCTCACTAATTGGACTTTGGAGAAGATCCATGGAGGCATCAATCCAAGAAATCTGTCCTGGATGAGGCTCCACGGCAATCAGTGGAATGACACTAATTAGACATCAATGGGAATGAGTGGCCAAGCTCCAGCTCCAATCCTTCCCTGGGAACAGGTCAGTGAAGAGCCAGAGAAAATTCCTCTTCTTTTCACCTGTTCCTAGGGAGGGATTGGAGCTGATTCTGGGAGAAATCCAGGGAAAAAAAATGCCTTAGATATGGAAAACAGAGGATTTTTCTCTGGCTCCTCACTGACTTGTTCCTAAGGAAGGATTGAACTTAATCTGGGAAAAATCCAGGGAAAAAATTGCCTCAGATGGAGAAAAAAGAGGAATTTTCTCCCTGGATTTCTTCCAGAATCAGCTCAAATTTTTGTTAGGAACAGGTAAATGAGGAGCCAGAGAAAATTCCTTTTTTTTCCCTATGTGAGGCATTTCTCCCCCTGGATTTCTCCCAGTATCAGATGAAAATCAGACAGATGAAAATCTAACAAAGGATTCCCAAACCCCAGGGTTGTGCCAAGCAAACCCAGTTTGATGCAGCTCTTTGGGTTTCAACTCCACACATGGGAAAATCAAACTGGAAAATACACGCAGGAATTCTGACTGGAAGAGAATATGGGAATGGATAAACCATGGAAAGAAGTCACCGGCAAGAGACTGAGGGATAACATTTAAAGATAAAAATGCTTTAAAAAAAAAAGAAAAAAAAATCAGGTTTTGGCTCTATATTTAAATAAAATTCCATGTTTTACCCTTCATTTTGAATTTTTTTGGGATGCCAAGGCACCAAACAAACCAACAGAGCATCACTTTTGTCTTTTCCCCAGAAATTTCCCGTGGCAGTTGTTCCAAGAATATTTCCAGCAGAGCTTCTGCTCCCAGCAGGTTTTGTTTGGCTTGGGATTTTTTTCCCCCCCATCCTTTTGTTGACCTGGTGTCTCTTGGCAGCTGTCACAGGTAATGCCAGCCAGGAATCGCCTTTTCCAGCGCTCCGAGGGTCACCGTTCCCACCCGGAGTCTCCCGGTGCCACTTTGGGATCCGTTAATAATTAACCCCAAGGAAAGCACTCGCCAGGTGGCCCTGATTGGGATCGCCCCGTTAATGGTTTGTGTTCCCTCTCCTCTCCAGCTGCTGCCGAGGATGAGCGCCGTGATCCTGCTGCTCCTGCTTTCCGTCGGGAACGCCGGATCCCAGCCGGACCAGGCGCTGCCCAGGCGGCGCCTGGCGTGTGTCAGGTGCTGCGGGCCCTCAGAGCAGCCCGTGTCCATCTTCTCCCAAAGGTCGGCCAGGATGAGCGGCCATCCCGAATATTCCGTGCCCAAAATCCAACCCACCATCGACATCACCATCCTCAAAGGTGGGTGCAGCTCGCTCCCGGCCTTCTCCTTGCTGCTCTTCCTTGGCGCTTCCCTACGGCAAAATTCAGCTCAAAATTCACAACAATGGGTGCCCAAAAGTGCCCAAAATCATGTCAAGGGGTGCCCAAAATGTGCTTGTGCCCGAAACGAGGTTAAGTGGTATCCAAAACAAGGTTAAGGGGTGCCCAAAATGTGGTTGTGCCCAAAACGAGGTCAAGGGGTGTCCAAATGTGCCCCAAAGTGCAAAAACGAGGTCAAGGAGTGTCCAAAAATGTGCCCAAGCGAAGGTGGAGGGGTGTCCAAAATGTGGTTGTGCCCAAAACAATGTTAAGGGGTGCCCAAAATGTGTTTGTGCCCAAAGGTGCGCAAAATAAGGTCAAGGGGTGCCCAAATGTGTCCCAAAGAGCCAAAACGAGGTCAAGGAGTGTCCAAAAATGTGGCAAGCAAAGATGGAGGGGTGCCCAAAATGTGTTTGTGCCCAAAATAAAATCAAGGGGTGCCCAAAATGTGGTTGTGCCCAAATGTGCCCAAAACAAGGTAAGAGATGCCACAAACATGGTTGTTCCCAAAAAAAGGGTCAAGGGGCACCCAAAACAAGGTCAAGGTGTGCCCAAAATGTGCCCAAGGGTCAAAGGGTGCCCGAAAGGCTGTCATGCCCAAAATGTGCCCAAAACCAGGTCAAGGGGCCCCCAAAATGGGGTGGGGCCCAAACGTGGCCCAAAATTAATCCTTCTGGGAATTGGAAAGCTGCTGCTATCTGATTGATATTCCTGGGTTAAACCTTCAGAGGAATGGGAAACTGCTGATATCTGATTGATATTCCCAGGCTGGGCAAACAGCAGCTCCTCAGCTGCTTGTCTCCAGGCCATTCCTGGAACCTGAGCTTCCCATCCTTGCGTTTGACACACCTTTCCCTCACCCTGGCAGGCGAGAAGGGCGAGATGGGCGAGCGGGGATTCCCTGGAGCAGCCGGGAAGGCGGGAGAGCGAGGATCCCGCGGCCTGAGTGGCCGGAAGGGCCAGAAGGGCCAGCCCGGCCCTCAGGGCCACTCCTGCAAGCAGCTCTTCGCCGCCTTCTCCGTGGGCCGCCGGAAGCCCCTGCACAGCTCCGACTACTTCCAGCACGTCACCTTCGACACGGAATTCGTCAACCTCTACCAGCACTTCAACATGTTCTCCGGGAAGTTCTTCTGCTACGTCCCGGGGATTTACTACTTCAGCCTCAACGTGCACACCTGGAATTTCAAGGAGACCTACGTGCACCTGATGAGGAACGAGGAGGCCACAGCCATCCTGTACGCCCAGCCCAGCGACAGGAGCATCATGCAGAGCCAGAGCCTGATGCTGGATCTGCAGGAAGGGGATGAGGTTTGGATCAGGATGTTCAAGAGGGAGAGGGAAAACGCCATTTATAGCGAGGAGTCGGATGTTTACATCATCTTCAACGGGCACCTGATCAAACCCGCCCTGGAGTAGGAGCTCCTCAGCTCCAGGGAAAAGCTTTGGGCCATCCAGCAGTGTTTTCCCTCTTGAAGTGCATCTTGAATTCCATCTGGAATGGTTGTAGCCCTGGAAGAGTTGTTTTTCCGCATCTGTGTGGATCCAAGCTGCACAAGAATTCCAGAAGGTTCCCAGCTCCCTTTGTGGCCCCTCAGGAGCGTCCCTGGAGTTTGTCCATTTGACAGCAAAAATTTCCCTTCTTTCTCTTGCATCTCCCATTCCATTTGGAATATTGGCGGCTCTTGGAAGGGTGGCTTCTCCACTCATTTATGGATGGAGGGAACTGTTCCAACTGCACAAGGATTCCAGAAGTTTTCCAACTCTCTGGAACATCCCTGAAGAGTTGCCAAGTTGACAGCAAAAAATTTCCTCCTCCAATTCCATTTGGAATATTTGTAGCCCTTGGAAGGGTGGTTTTCCACCCCTGTATGGACAAAGGTGACTGTTCCACCTGCACAAAAATTCCGCAAGATTCCCATGTCCCTGTAAAGACCCTCGGGAACATCCCTGAAGAGTTTGTCAAGTTGGCAGCAAAAATTCCACCTTGCTCTGCATCTCCTGTCCCATTTGGAATATTTGAAGGGTGATTTTCCACCCCTGTGTGGATGGAAGGAACTGTTCCACCTGCACAAAAATTCCAGAATATTCCCAGCTCCCTGTGTAGCCCCTCAGGAACATCCCTAAAAAATTTACCAACTTGGAAGAAGAATTTCCTTCCTTTGCTGTGCTTTAGAGAAAGAATTGTAATAATTAGGATATAATTATCATAAAATAATTATCCCTAAGGACCAGAGCAGTTATCCAGGTGCTAATGAAGGAATTTTGTTACTCCTGCAAAAATCTCGGCTAATTAGAGCTACCCCCCCCCCCCCCCCCCAGCAGCACCAGGTTGGCTCCACTCAGACAGGAATTTTAGCATGAAAATCAATATTTTGCACAGGAATGAATCCCAAATTCCGGTTTGGTTCCATTCTGTGTCATATTCCATGATTCCAGCAGAATGGTGGAATTAGAGAAATAACAGCAGATGGATTCGGGGAAGCTTTTCCAGGGAAACAGAGCTCAGTACAACCACAAGCTCCAGAGAAAAACTTCCCAGAAGAACATTCAAAACCTGCCTGGGAATGTGCTTCCCAACTGAACAAAATGGTGGGAATTTGGGATTTGCCAAGCTGGGATTTCAGGCTGTGCTCCCATCTGATCTTTCCCATTTTGGAGCACCATCAATTCTGGGAAATAGAGGAAAAACTGGAAAGAAAAATGTTTTGATTTTTTATCTTTAGGGGTCTGGGGAGTTTTCCACAGAAATTACTGTCTTGGAACACCTTCATTTCTGGAAAAATGCGAAAGAAAAATGAGGTTTTCTTCAAGCAGTGGTTGTTAGGGATTTGGGGGTGTTTTTCCCAGAAATTGCCATTTTATGGCACCATCATTTATGGAAAGTGGAAGAAAAGCTGGAAAGAAAAAGGAGCTTTTCTTCAAGCAGTGATTTTTAGGGTTTTGAGGGTTTTTTTCCTAAAAAAATATGGATAGAACCATGGTGCATGCAGCAAAACCCCATCACTTTATCCCATTCCTTGTTTTCCTTTCTCCCAGTCTCTTGTTTGCTTCCCAAACTTTTTGTACAAAGAATCCAGGGAAATTCTTGCCAGGAAAACGCTTCCATGAATTTCATCTTCCCCGGCTTTGGGAAAAGTAGCTGAAATAAAGATTTTGCTTTCAGCACCTGGGGTTGTTTCTCTCTTTTTCCATAAATTTTCCCATAAGTTTTTCTGCATCCTCTAGCTAAAAGCACCACACTGACCCTGGAAAAAGTCTCTGGAGGGAATTTTAGCCCCTTTAATCCAAAGAATTCCCAAAAGGAAGCTCCTTTTCCTCTAAATCAATGCCAAATCTTCAAGATCTCCCAATTGTCCTGAAAATAGGGACTTTTAAGTGGAAAATTCCATGTAAAAATGGATCCCAAGCCTTGAAACCATGAGTGTGCTCCTGCTTCCCTCAACCTGCACCTGAAAAGGAAACCTGGGAAATTTCCATAATTTTAAAGCCACATTAAAGAGTTCCACATCTTTTCCCCTCCTTTTTCTACTTCTAAATCCTCCTTGTCCCATCTCTAGGTTGGAAAAAGAATTTTCAGGCTGGCAGGAGCCCTGTGGTGGAGCAGAGCATTCCCAGCTGGAATTCCTCATTCCTCACAGATCCAGCAGCTTTCCCACCATTTTGGTTCATTCCCATCTACTTTTTGCTGCACTGACTAAAATTACAATTAAAAATTCCCTGATTATTGCCAGGGCTGGAAAAAAACACACCCAGAACATTTCAATCCACAAAATTCCGCAGAAGTCTCTTTCTCCTGGGAAGCAGCAAAAATCCATCATTTTTATCCCTGAATAAACACTTCTCCAGAAGAGATATTTGGATTTTGGAGCTCTCATGACTCATCCCAGCGCCAGGAGCAGGGAAATCATTAAATCCACATTGATTCCAGGGGCACAACGACCTTTCCAAGCATCCAGAGGGATCCACGAGATCCAAATTACCCCAAATGGCCTAAAAACCACCAGGAATCTCAACCTGCCAAGGTTTTGGGGGAAAAACTGGAATATGTCAGAGCTGAGTGTTCCCACTGACACATTTTAAATCACTTTTCCAGGGATGGAAATTTCCTTTTGGGAAGGAAATTTCCCTAAAATCCAACTGAAACCTCCCCTGTTCTGTTTGTTGAGCTCCCTCTATCCCGGGAATGCCACAACCCGTCATTCCCATCTCCTCCCAGCCTGTTTTGGGGTTAAAGAGGGAAATCATGAAATCTGCAATTCCAGGGGCAAAATCCAGAGGGTTCCCACAGGATCCAGATGGCCTAAAAACCCACCAGGAATCTCAGCCTGCTGAGGTTTTTTGGGAATTAATGGGAATCTCTAAAAGCTGAATGTCCAAAGATTTTCTCACTGCCACCATTTAAAATCCCTTTCCCAGGCTGGAATCCCTAAAATCCAAGTTAAGCCTCCTCTGCTCTGTGTTGTTCCACTCCCTCTATCCTGGGAATGCCACAACCCCTCACTCCCATCTCCTCCCAGCCTGTTCTGGGGATAAAAAGCCTGTTTGGGTGTGGTTCCCTCCCTCTGGATGGATTTTTCTCTGGAATAACAACAGGCACCGGTGCCTTGGGCAAACTCTTCCCTTCCTCTCCAGGAGGAAACTTTGGATTTACGACAGGAACTTGATAACATCGAGGCTGATAAGGAAACCAGGCAACAAACCAGGCTAATGGATTGCCTCTGGATGAGTGGAATGGGATTTAATGACTCCAGCAAGGATCCATCCCACCCCAAGGATTGGGAGAAAATGCAGGAGATAGGAGGGGAAAGTGGGAAAACAAACAGAGAGGCTTCCAAGCCAGGGAGCAATCCCGGCTAAAAGCTCGGATGGAGACTTTGGCCTTCCACACCCTCCCTGCAGGCTGGGAATGGCAATTCCCAAACCCAGGACAGGCTGGGAATGGCAATTCTCAAACCCAGGACAGGTTGGGAATGGCAATTTCCAAACCTTGGACAGCCTGGGAATGGTAATTCCCAAACCCAGGAAAGGCTGGGAATGGCAATTCCCAAACCCAGGGCAGGTTGGGCATGACCATTCCCAAACTCAGGACAGGCTGGGAATGGCAATTCCCAATCCCAATTCCTTGGGAATCTCCATCCCTCCCTGGAATGAGAAGCGGGATTCATTTGAGGGCTCCCTGTTCTTGCTCTCTGCTCTGTTCCTGTAAATCCTGAGGATTCCTCATTCTCCTGACTTTCCTGAGTGATTTTATTTTTCCTGGCAAGATCCAGGCAGCAGCACCCAGAAAATCCGTGTGTGCTCTCTGCCCTCAGCACCTTTTCCTTGCTTAATTTTGGGGGATTTCCTGTTCTCTCCCAGCTTTTCCAGGAAAAATCCCTGGGATTCTGATGGGGCAGGGCCTTCCTGAGGGGAAAACTCAGGATTTGTGTCCTTGCAGGGCTGGATTTGGCCCCAGAGATGTGGGAAGAGGTTCATCCCCTCAGGAATGGGCAAACAGGCAGGATGAGCTGGATCCCTGGGATGAGGAGGGATTTGCTTCCCTTTTCCCAAACCTGTGGATGTTTCCTCCCCAGCTGCATTTGTATTCCAGCCAAAAGCTGCTGCAGAGATTTGGGCACCCAACAATTCCTGCCAGACATTGGGAATGACAGCCTAATGCTATTTCCAGGGAAAATCACATTAAAATCGGCTCTCCGAGGAATTGCTTCCGTTCTGGATCCAGGCTGGACTGCTGCAATCTCAGCCACCCCAAGGCCATTTCAGAGTGAAATTCCATGTGCAGGAAGCTGAGGAATTGCTACTGGATTTGGGGTTTTGTTGATCCAAAACCCAGCACAGAGCCTGTGAATTCCCAAGGGATCACATTGGAATTGTCTCCCTTTTTCCATGCAAGAAAGAATCTAAAACAATTCCTCCACCAGGTCATTTTTCCTTGTTTTTCTGTGTTTTCATCCCTTCTAAATCAGAATCCTGAATTTTTCCAGGATGGAAAAGACACCTGGACAGGGATAGGCTCAGTGCTGTCAGAGATCTTTTCCCACCTCAGTGATCCTGTGATTCCAGGGATGCAGAACCCTCCATCCCAATCCCTGCCTCTGTCTGCGTGGCCCAGCTCAGCTCCCAGGTTTTTATCAGATCAGAAATCCACGGATCTGCTTTTCCCTCCCTGAAAACGTGCTGGAAAAACCCAAACACCATCGAGTGCCATGAATTAATTCCGTGGAAATGCCTCTGATTCCTGTCAGGAGCCAGGCACAGACACGTCAGGAAATAAAAGAATTCCAAGTGTGGGATGTGGGGCTGTCAGCCCTGTCTGGCACCCGGCATATGGGGCTGGAATCTGTGGAAAAACGGGACAGGGATGCAAACAGGATGCTCTCATTAATTCTGGGAATGCATAATTAATTAATTACCCTTCCCAGGGGAGCTGCTGTCACCACGGCTCCCAGAGCCAGCGCTTCTCCTTCGGTGAAGCAGGAATTGTGTATGGGATTTGTGCTGCCTGGCTTTTAGAATCAGGAATTGTGTATGGGGTTTGTGCTGCCTGGCTTTTAGAATCAGGAATTGTGTATGGGATTTGTGCTGCCTGGCCCTGTTGTTCCTCCTGGATGCAGGAATTGTGCCCAGGATTGCTGCCCCACCCCTGGAAGTGCCCAAGGCCAGAGCTTGGAGCACCCTGGGATAGTGGAAATTGTTCCTGCTCGTGTCAGGGCTTGGAATGGAATGATCTTGAAGTCCCTCCCAGTCCAAAGCATTCCATGATTCTTTGTTTTGCTGGGAAAAGCATAAATTCATTGAGGCCTTGGAGGGAATTTTATCCTTTATTTTTTTCCACCAGATTCTCCAGAGAAAGCCACAGTGGGATTCACCTCTGGAGCAGGGAGAGGAAAAGGCCCAAATCTCCCTCTGGAATATGAAATAGGGATGCTCTGGAGCAGGGGGGCTGCAGTCATGGATCTCCCATCCCAGAGGGATTAAACCAGGATTATAAACCCCAAATCCAGCCAGCAGAGGTGATCTGTGGAAGATGAAGGGAAAACTCTTCCCTGATAATTCCCAGCTCACTGCACTTCCAGGCCTGGGCTGTGTTTGCATCCAGGGTCAGATGCCCACGGAAATTCCTGGGTTATCTCCCACCCCCACAGGCCAGGATTGTTCATCCCCAGCTTTTCCCGAGAGTTGCTGCTTTTCCTGTTGGGAAAAGCGGGTTCATCCCCGGCTGAGGGAATGGGATCCATCCAATATTTGGGATGACTCCCAGCTCGAGGTCAGGAACAGGATCCAGGGCTTAAAGGCTCAGGAGAAGGGAGCCAGCGGGGACAGCTTCACCTTCCCTGACTTTCCAGGGAATGATGGGCAGATAGGGAGGATTAAGTGTTAAAGGGAAGGGAACACAGAAACCCCGGAGCGTCGCCCATCCCATGGCAACAGCGCCGGATTTCCATGGAGTTCTCCAAAACAACACCCAAATGGGCGGGAATGAACAATCCAGGAAAACCAGGAGCGGGCTGAGGCCAGCAGCTGAGGCATTCCAGGTGAGGGAGGGGCTGGAGCTGGATAAAATATCCCAGGAATAAATCTGGGGATGAAATCAGCTGCTCCTGCCTCGGCCACAGTTCCAAGGAGCAGGGAAAGGCACTGGAAATTGGGATTTGTAGGATGGATCAAGGGTTTTGTGGCACAGGGAATGTTTGGATCCCAGGGATAATCCCATCCCAGGAATCAGGGAACAAAGAGCTGGGAGTTCAACTGGGAGTTAAAGAGGGAAGGTGCAAAATTTCCATGTGTGCCCTGCTCTTACTGCAACATCAATCCACTGACAAATTCCACTTTTCAGGCACTTTCCTGGGTTTTTCCTCCCTTGGGGATCAGCCAGGAGAAATCCCAAAGGCAGAAGATTCCATGGTGACCCTGCTGAAATCCAGGAAGTGCCCAGTGAAGCCCATTAATCCCAATTCCTCTGGGATGCCCACCTGGAATCTGCCCTTTGGAATTACTGTCTCCTAATATCACTTGTCCAAACTGAATCCATTATTTCCCCCCCCACCCTCAATTAAACCCATTTTTCATGGAATAAAAAGTGAATCCCTAAGGAAGCCGCTCCTGTATCCCAAAGGTTGCTTGGTGGATTTTTCCACACACCCTTCCTTCACATCCTTTGGTATCCAGCAGCTGGAATTCCCTTTATTGCATGGATCTCATTGAATATTCATAGCTGGAGCCTGAACCAGAAATTCCAGTTTATTTTTTATTTATTATTTTATTTAATTTTTATTTTATCCAAATGATTTTTCCACCTCCTGAAGGTCAGATGGGAACCAGGCAAATGTTCCATGATCTTCCCGTGGGTGGGTTTGTTTTTTTTTTTTTTTCTTCCAGCAGAGCAGTACCAACATTTGGAATCCTTGGATGAATCAAAGGAAAAGCTGAATAAGCTGGAATTTGGAAGGATTGTCTGTCGAGGTATTAAAAATGTCATTCAATCCCTGGGGATGAAGGATTGGGGTTGGAATGTGTGGAGAAAAACAAGGATCTGGGGAGTGTCGATGCTGTCTGGAGCCTCCTGGGAAGGGCTGGCTGGGAGGACAGATTTTCCCGGGAATTTGTCAGTCTTTGTGGAAGGATGACATGTTTTGATGGAATGTGTGCAGGGACGTTGGCAGCTCAGCTGGCTCCTCAAAATTCCACTGCCAAGCTGCCAGGAGAAGCCCAGGAATGGCGTTTGGGATTCAGGGAAAAGCCAGAGGAGCTTCCAGGTCTGAGGAAAGATTTTTTAGGGTGAGGAGAGAATTCCATGGAGCAAAGGCTGAGTGGCACTGGGAGAGATGATCTGCAGGAGCTGCTCCCAGAAAAAATTCCTTGGGCTGGGAAAAAAAAAAAAAATTCCTCCAAAGCATCATTCCCACGGCACTGAATTCCCCAGGGAGCTGCTGGCTGGAAAGGGAATTTTCCTGGGAATTGGGGCATTGACAACTTTACTAAATTTACTCCTTAAATATGATGGATTGCAGCATTACCAATGGGAATGTTGGATGGGCTGGCTGGAATTTCTGTTTTCTGGGAATTGGGATCCCCATCCTGATCTGAGGGGATGGGAAAAGAGGTGGGATCGGTCTGGAGCACATGGAAAACAAGGCCCAGGTTCATCCACCTCTTTTCCAGGGTCTGTTCCCTCTGGATAAAACTTCCCTTGGTTAATTCCAAGGATTTGCTCAAACCCCATGGAAAGAGGGGAGAAATGCTCTTTGCTCTGCCCAAGCCAGGGTTTAACTCCTTCCCAGAAATCTGAGTTTATTAAAACCCTTTTTCTTTCCAAAGCAGATTTTCCTGCCCGACCTTGAGCTTTCCAGTCATTTCCCACTCAGGAGCTTCCAGGAGGAATCATTTCAGGTGGAAAACAGAGGGAATCACAGCCCAGCTCACACCAAACCAACTGTAAAAGTTAATTTTATTAATTAACCAGTTAAACCTGGCTGTGCTGGGATGTGGAATGTGCTGTAGGGCAGGTGAGCACTGCCTGCTACTGGGAGAAACCTGGGAGTAAATTACTCATGGTCCCAGCCAGGCTCTGGGTGCATCCTGTGCTTGCATCTCGGTGTGCCCAGTGAGTTCCTGGCTTTGGGAGTGTCACATCCAAGAGAATAAATGGAATTATGGAATCATTAAAGTTGGGAAAAACCTCCAGGATTGAGGCACAAACATCGCCTGGCAACTGCATCAGTCAGGAGGGGGTTGAGCTGGGCTTAATTTCTGGAAACACAGGTTTGAGTCTAGATTTACACACAGAGGAGATTGAGCTGGGTTTAATTTCTGGAAATGCAGTTTTAAATCCAGATTTACACTCATAGGTGATTGAGCTAGGTTTAATTTCTGGAAATGCAGTTTTAAATCCAGATTTACACTCAGAGGTGATTGAGCTGGGAATTTCTGGAAATGCAGTTTTGAGTCCAGATTTACACTCAGAACCAAGGAATGGACACAAAATCTCCCCAGGAGCCCACGGCCATCAGCACTGACATCACAACAACGAGGTCGCAGCACATTTCATGGGGTGGGAAGGTGGAAATGTCATGGCTACACTGATTCCTTTCCAGAATTGTTCTCCTAATCTGGGTTTTTTATCCTTTCTGGCTGTGTTTGAAGGGTTCCTGGCTGTTCTGGCTCCCTGGGATGGGTTAATGACAGGAAAAAAATCAAAGGCAGCACCCAGCACATCAAATCCCATTTCCAGAGCAGTGCTGGTGCTTTTTTGCATGAAACTCTGAAGAAATCTCATTTTCCTTTCAGAAATCCCCTTGAAGAATTCCCAAGGATCCCAGCTGAGCTGTTTGCAGCTCGCAGCTGATCCCAACAGTGCAAAGCAGCCTTAAACCAATCTTAACAAGGGAATTAGAGCTGGCTTAGTGTTGGTTTGCATCACTAGAGGGGTACAAAGCCTGGAAATCATTCCCTGAAGCACCCAAAGTGGTCCCAGACATCGGATCCATCAGGACACCACGAGAGCTTGGCACTTCCAGCTGGGAAGAGCAGGGAAGAGCCCTCTGTGTACATTTGTTGGAGCTTCCAGGGCTCCACATTTCCCTTTTGCGTGAACCTTGAAGTCCCCAAGTCCTCCAGGAGACTCCGCAGTGCCGGGCCACGCCCTCAGACCTTGCTGGTCTGCATGTGCCCGTTGAACTCTGCGTTCCTCTGGGTCAGCATGGACTCCTGCAGGCGGCTGCTGTTCTCCTGCCTGTGCTCTACGGGGTCTCCATCCTCCGCTCCATCGCCCTTCCGGAGGCACAGAACCTTCTGGAAGCTCTGCTTGAAGTTGTCGGAGAGGAAGCCGTAGAGGATGGGGTTGGCGCAGCTGTTGGCGTAGGACAGCACCACCATGAAGAAGTAGAGCCCCTCCAGGACGGGGTCGGCGGGCAGGATGAGGATCAGGTTGACGATGTTCATGGTGTAGAAGGGCAGCCAGCAGAACACGAAGACCACCACGATGATCACCACCATCCTGGTGACCTTGCGCTCCGACCGGCGGCGCCGCGTGGAGCCCACGCGGATCCCCGAGGACTTGACCTTGACCACGATCAGCAGGTAGCACAGGCAGATGACCAGCAAAGGGCCGAAGAAGCCCAGCACCGAGGTGTAGATGATGAACGCCGCCGACCAGACGTTGACCGGCTCCGGCCAGTTCATGTTGCACGTCTGGAAGTCCTCCTGCACGTCCGAGAAGATGATCACGGGCAGCACCACCAAGAAGGAGAAGGTCCAGACCGTGGCACTGATGAGCTTGGCCACCCTGGGGCGTCTCCACTTGGTGGATTTGATGGGGTGCACCACAGCCAGGTAGCGGTCCATGCTCATCACCGTCAGGCAGAAGATGCTGGTGAACTGGTTGATGCCGTCCACGGTCATCACCAGGCGGCAGAGGAAGGAGCCGAAGGGCCAGTAGGAGATGGCGTTTTGGGTGGCCAGGAAGGGCAGGCCCAGCATGAAGAGCACGTCGGCCACGGCAAGGTTGAGGATGTAGATGTTGGTGACCGTTTTCATCTTGGCGTGGCGCAGCACCACGTAGATGACCAGGGCGTTGCCGCTCAGCCCCACGGCGCACACCAGCAGGTAGCAGATGGGGATCAGCACCTTGTGGATGTACTGGAACGGGGGCGGCTCCGGGAGCGTCCCGTTCTCCGTGGCGTTGGGCAGCACAGAGGAGTTCTCCTCACCGGGAACGGCTTCCATGCTGAACGTGCTGGAAAAGTACAGAGGATCCATGGGGTTTTTGTTTTCTCTCCGTGGTTTTTCTTCTTAAGAGAGATTAAACTTCACGGGCATCTTGTTCCTAGAAGGAAAATTGAAAATTTCAAAGTTCAAAAGTTCGACAATTAGAAAATTCAAAAATTCTAAAATTCAAGAATTCAAAAATTCAGAAGTTTGAATGTTCAAACATTCAAACATTCAAAAATTCAAAGATTCAAAAATTCACACATTCAAAAATTCACACATTCAAAAATTCAAACATTCAAACATGCAAACATTCAAAAATTCAAAAGTTCCAAAATTTAAACATTCAAACATTCAAACGTTCAAAAATTCAAAAATTCAAACATTCAAACATTCAAACATTCAAAAATTCAAGGAAAAGGAAGACAGGAAGAGTGAATTCAAAGCGGATTTCTACAATCACTTCCATTTTCTGTTCTGTTCAGGATTTGGGGTTGGATTATTCAGCCAGGGAATGGGAGCAATTCCAAACAAAGGAATTGAACAATGGGAGGATCCCCGTGCTCATCCCCGTGCTCATCCCAGCAGATCCCAGGTTCTGTTTCATTTTCACAGGATCCAGGGCTGGGGGTAGCTGTGATGGATTTTTCCCCGTGAGGGTGGAGAGGCTCTGGAACAGAATTCCCAGAGCAGCTGTGGCTGCTCTATCCCTGGAAGTGTCCAAGGCTGGACGGGTCTTGGAGCAACCTGGGATAATGGAAGGTGTCGGGGTTGGAACTGGGATCAGGGGAGGAAGTAAAACTTTCCATAACCATGGAAAACCCTTGGAAAAAAAATCCCTGAGCTCCAAGACAGCAAGGATCATGTCTGAGATCTTCCCCACCAGGCCGGGGTGTATGCACAGAGAGGGGAAGGAATAAACCCCTTTTTTTTCCATCTCTCAAGATTACTTTTTATATTCCTGCATTGTCTCCTCTCACCCTGAACTGCTTTTTATCCCAAAAATCCCTTTTTCCTGCAGGAAATCCAAGCTGCACTGGGCAGCTCCAGGACAGCTGGAATAAATTCTACCAACCATTCTGAAAAAGGTGAAGAATTTCCAACACCCCTTTCCTGTGGCAAGCTTGATTCCCAGCAATATTTTTCCACCTTTTTGTCGGAGTGGGGTTCAATTTATCAGGTGGAGAAACTTGGAAACGCCACCTATTAAAAAGTGAGATTTGAAGCAGCAAATCCTGTTGAAGGTGGAAGAAAAACCCAACAATTTCTGCTGCCGTCACCTGACGAGCAGATTCCCGCAATAATCCGGGGGTTTGGAGCTGGAATCACAAACAGCCGGCCCACAGCGCTGGAAAAACTCCTTGTCTCCAGGAGCAATCCAAAACCACCTCCGTCCATCAGGGCTGGGCTTTCTCTGGGGTGAGAAAAGCTGGGGGAGAGGAGGAGCCCCTGCAGCTCCCGGGAGGAATCACAAATGTGCCGAGCCGCTTTGGGGATGTGCAGATGGGGAGTAGGTGTCTCACGTGGCTGGGTGGGGAAATCGGGAATTCAGGGAGAGCTGAGGGAGCTCCTGGAGGGTGGGGATGGGGCAGGAGGAGCCGGATGTGCTGCTGGAATATTTGGGGTTTAGGTGTTGGGAGCATCCCTGCAATTCCCAGCATCCCGTTGCAGGCAGAGCTCAGCCAAGATCCTTATAAATTAAACAGCAGTGAGCCAGGGCCTGGACAAAATAACACAGGAAAACTCCAGTGCTTGGATAAAATAACACAGGAAAAGTCCAGTTCTGGCTGAAAAAGTAGAATTTTAAATACTGATCTTCAAATTATTTTGTAATTCTGAGTTGTAACAAATCTCAGGTTATTTATGGCGGAATTCTGGGAGAAGCCGAAGCTGGGACCCCTCATTCCTGTCTGGGACAGGTTTGGAAATTCCCATTTTCCTGCTGCGACCCCACTGGGATCACTGAAGGGAAGAATAGGAAGGAAAAATACACAGGATGGGGCAGGCAGGGTTACTGACTCATATCCATGGAGCTGCATCCTTGGGATTGGGAATGTTCTTCCCAGACAAGCTCAGCACATCCAGGCTGGGCCCAAAAAGCCCAAATTTCCATCTGAGCCTGGGAAAAAATTGGAAGGTGTGGAAAGAAGCAGGGCTGGAACTCAGCAGGGAAGGTCAGGAGGTGGCTCATCCTCTAAAAAATGGGAAAGGACACCTTTTCCAAAGTCCCCTTTTCCCACAGTGCAAATCCTTGGATTCAGGACTGGAGGAATTACAAATTACACAACTTCAGTCCTGGTCCTTCCACCACCTCTGGAGTTCAAGCCTTGGAAAGAGGAGCTCTTTTCTTTGGATATTTTCAATTTCTTCTCCCCCTGGAGGAATCCTCCAGCCCTAAATGCAGAGGTGCGGATTTTTTGGAATTTTTTTTGGTGGATTTTTGGATTTTTCTGGATTTTCCAACAGAAAGGAACCTGCAGGTTCCCTCACCAGTCAGACTTTTCCTGGAGTCAGGGACACTTTGTCACCTCAGCATTTTGGGGCTTTTGCCATGGGTTTGTGGGAATATTCACCTTTCCCTCGGGATTTCTGTTCTGTGGGATGAGCTGTACAATATTCCCTGTCACACCAAGCGGACTGGGAAGGGAATCTCAGAACCCTGGAATGCTTTGGGTCGGAAGGGACCTCCAAACTCATCCATGAGCATCTCCCATTATCCCAAATTGCTGGATGTGGACAATTCCAGGGATTTCTCAGTGCATTTCGTGAGGGGGAATCCATTTCCTAAGGCTCTGGTGCAAATCCTCCCAACTCTTCCCTGATTTTTTCAGCTCCAGGAAGGAATTGACTCCATCTGGACATTCCCCATTGCCAGGATTTGACGTCCCAACCTCCCCCAGCTCTGCAAACCAAACCCAGATCCCCATTCCACGTTTGCTTCCCGCAGCCTTTGCCTCGCAGCCACCAGAATTCCGGGATTTTTTCCTGGGAAAAAAAAAAATCCCTGACCAGCTGCAAATCCATGTTTTCCTGGCTGCCTTGGAGGAGCACAGGGAATTTTTCCCCCTATCCAGGTGACAATTTGTCCATCACCGGCACAATTTGGGCTCAGCTCCTTTTGTCACCACGACCCTGAACCTCCACAGAGGGTGATTAAAGATGATGATTACAGGTAATTAAGTGGCGCTGATTGATCCCTCGTAGCCTTGTTTGGTGTTCTTAATTAAGGGATTAATAATAAACATGCCTCCAGGGGATTTTCTCTCATCCAGCTTTTTTTTCCCCCCCTTTGATTTCCAAGCCCCCACCCTGGGATTGTCCATAAATTTTGGGTTTTCTGCTTAAAATTGAGGAGCTGGGAACATAGGCCTGGAATAATCACTGATAGAATTCCAAGTTTTAATAGAGAAGCATCCAGGAAAAAAATCAGCATCCACAGCAGCTGAATATATCTCTGTGCCTGTTTCCCAAAAAAAAAACAGGGAATAAATAGCAGAGGTGTTATGGTGTAAGAATTTCGCATTTGTGAAAACTCCTAAATAAACCTGGGTGGAAAAAAAAAAAACCCCAAGGATTAACAGAACAGTGACTGAAAAATCATCCCAACCTAAGGAAAAACAAACGTTTAAAATCGAATTAAAATTCTTAATTTCAAATTAAAAATGCCCAGCCAGATCAAGGCTGAAGTTTTCCTTGGCTCTGGTCACAGCAGGAAAGCAAAAACAACTCCATGGAGAGCATTGCATGAGAGTGGGGCAGGGATCAGGCAGGAATGGCAGGAATTAAATCTGATTTTCCAAGCTGGGTTGGATCCTGCTGCCTGTTTGCCTCTGGAATCATCACTCTCATCCCCAATAATTGCTGGGAATGGAATTACAGCAGGAGCACGGCAGATTGCTGCTTCCAGCAGCAGGATAATCAGGGATAACACAGCCAGTGGGAATCCAGCCTTTCCAAACTGTCTTGGGAGGAAAAAAACATGGAGAACTCTCCAGGAATTCTCTCCCGGCAGCAGAATTCCCATCCCGTGGAGTTCCTGCAATAATTCCCTGGATTTGATAATTTTTCCCTTTTGGAGTTGGATGTCCATCACCTGCTGCTTCCTCATTCCTTGTTTTTGGGGGGATGGAGCAGGCAGGAGAGGGAGGGAGCTGGGGACAGCCGGCAGGGCAGCTCTGGGATAACCCAAAAATCCCAGGAAATTTGGGTGGGAGCAGCAGGGAAATGCAGCATCGCCCCGAGAGCCGCCTCAGCTCTGAGGGATGAAAATGTTCTGTACAATGCAGCAGGGACACCTCGCTTTTCCCATTCCCACCAGCCGGAGTGAAAAACATCCAGGAATCCGTTCAGATTCTCCTGGAAAGGAACTTTTTCCATGGACAAATCTGCCTTTGACGCTTCTCAGGGGGCGTTTGTTGCCTTGAAAAACCAAATTATGGATTTTTCTCTGCTGAAAACAAAACTTTCTCACATGGAATTGCTCCTCTGCTTCACTCTCTGAATTGGGACTAAGCACCGATCAGCTGAATTCCAAGTTCAACAGCTTCTTCCCGCTTTTAAGCCTAAAAAAAAATCTTTTAAAATTGTATATTTGGCACCACCTTGTTACCCCTCAGCTCATCCCAGGGTTTCCCAGAACCCCTGAGAAGCTGCTCCTATTTTTTAGGAGCAAACAACTCATGAAATAACCCATAAACCCAAATCTTGGCTGAATCTTTTTTTTTTTCCTCCCCAAACACCTTTAAATCGTGCTCAGGGATTACTCACTCGGGCTCAGCTGCTCCTGCCACAACAACACTCGTGGAAAGCAAATTCTGCTGGGTTTGGTCCCAGGTTTAAGATGGGTGTGCTCCCGGATTTAAACTGGGTTTGATCCCAGATTTAAACTGGATTTGCTCCTGGATCTAAACTGGGTTTGCTCCCAGATTTAAGATGGATTTGCTTTCTGATTTAAGATTGGCTTGCTCCCAAATTTAAAATTGGTTTGGTCCCAGATTTAAACTGGATTTGCTCCTGGATTTAAATCAGTTTGGTCTCAGATGTAAGATGAGTTTACTCCTGGATTTAAAATGGGTTTGCTCCTGGATTTAAAATTGGTTTGATCCCAGATTTAAACTGGGTTTTCTTCCTGATTTAAGATGGGTTTGCTCCCAGATTTAAGGTGGGTTTGGTCCCAGACTTAAACTGGGATTGCTTCCTGATTTTAGATGGGTTTGCTCCCAGATTTGAGATGGGTTTGGTCCCAGACTTAAACTGGGTTTACTCCTGGATCTAAGGTGGGTTTGGTCTCAGATTTAAACTGGGATTGCTTCCTGATTTAAAATGGTTTTGCTCCCAGATTTAAGGTGGGTTTGGTCCCAGACTTAAACTGGGTTTGCTCCTGGATCTAAGGTGGGTTTGGTCCCAGATTTAAACTGGGTTTGCTCCCAGATTTAAGGTGGGTTTGGTCCCAGATTTAAACTGGGATTGCTCCCGGATTTAAGGTGGGTTTGCTCCAGGCAGAGCAAGGTGTGGAGCTCCATCCCTGTTCCCCCAGCGGGCAGTGGGGCTGGGGTGGAGATCCCAAACCCGCTCCAGCACAGCCCCAATCCCAGACCTTTCCCCAAAGGTTTCTGTTCCTCCTTTCCTCGCTGCAATCCAGGGACATGCAGAGATTTCAGGGATATTCCAGATCACTAATTCCAGCCTGGGGCTGCTCCCAGGCTGAGGGAGAGCAGGAACAGCCCCGCGGTGGAAGGAGCTCAGGAACAGCAGCTCCGGGGGGGAAATTCCAGGATTTGGGGTGTCTGGCTTGGATCGGTGCAGCCCCACTGCATCAACCGAGCCCTGCTGGCTGTCCCCAAGAGCTGGGGGTCCCTCAAGCACCCCCAGACTGGTCCCAGCACCCCGGGAGAGGCTGTGGGGTTTCACCCGGGGGGTCTCCTCCTCCCCAGAGCTACAAAAGTCTCTGCTTGAGCCCAAAGCGCCTGAGCCCAGCTCTTCTTGCCCTGTTCTTCTGTGCAGGGAGCCAGCCCAGGCTCAGCCAGAGCTGCTCCCAGGCCCCATCCTGACCCCCCGATGTCACCTTGCCCTGACCCCCAATGTCACCTTGCCCTGACCCCCCGATGTCACCTTGCCCTGACCCCCCATGTCACCTTGCCCTGACCCCCCATGTCACCTTGCCCTGACCCCCCGATGTCACCTTGCCCCGACCCCCGATGTCACTTTACCCTGACCCCCCCAATGTCACCTTGCCCTGACCCCCGATGTCACCTTACCCTGACCCCCGATGTCACCCTGCCCTTGCCAGCCGTGCTCTCACCCCCTGCTCTCCCTGCCCTGTTTTATCCCAGGGCTCTGCTCGTTCCCCGAGCCCCATCCAGGGCTCCGCCACATCCCCGCGGTGACAGCGGCCCCGGGCTGTCCCCGCTGGTGCCTCTCGCGTCCCTTCCCAGCTCCAAAGCAGCTCCTGCTTCAAACGCGGCATCGCCCCCACGGCCGGGGGTCCCTCCCGGGTACCCCCAGCCAGGATTGTCACCCCACTGCCGCCCAGAGGGTCCCCCCGTCATCCTTCCTGCCAGGACAGGGTCACATCACCGCCCAGAGGGTCCCCCCTGTCATCACTCCGGCCAGGAGAGGGTCACATCACCGCCCAGAGGGTCCCCCCTGTCATCCTCGCGACCAGGACAGGGTCACATCACCACCCAGAGGTTGTGACTCCATCTCCCAGCCCGGATGGAGTCACTCCAGCCCCAACCCCCCCCCCTCAGAAGGACAAATTCGACGTCTCCACAAGCGGGACCGAAGGCTCCGCTGCCTCCTTCCCCCCAGCCAACCCCCCCACCCCAAAACCCCAAAAGCGGGGTGCGTTTTGCGGATCCCCCCGTGCCCCGTGCCCATCCTCCGTGCCCGCAGCGATCGCAGCCGCTCCCCGCATCCCGGCTCGCCGTTCCGGGCTCCCGGCCGTGCTTACCCGCGGCTCCAGCGCTGTTCTCCTGCTGGAGCAGGAGCCTGCCGCTCCCCTCCCGCAGCCGCTCCGGGAGCGCTCCCCGCGCTGGCCGCTCCCCCGGGAGGAGCCACGGGGCTCGGAGGGCTTGGCTCTGCCCGCCGGTGTCCCCGCGATAATGTGTGTGTGTGTGTCTGTGCCACCTCCTCGTGTGTGTGTTTGTGCCACCTCCCCATCTGTGTGCCACCTGCGAGCGTGTGCGCCACCTCTTCCTTTCTGTCCCCTTTCCCACGTCTGTGCCACCTCCCCATGCCCGTGTCCCCCTCCCCACCTCCGTCCCCTTTTCCACGCCTCTGCCCCACTCCCCGTCCCTGTTTCTCTATCCCCATCCCTGTCCCCCATCCCTATCCTCGCTCCCTCATCCCTGTTCCCCATCCCTGTCCCTGTTCCCACATCCCTGTTCTCTCGTTCCCATCCCTGTCCCTCCCCATCCCCGTTCCCTCGTCCCTATCCCTGTTCCCCCATCCCCATCCCCGTTCCCCATCCCCATCCCCGTTCCCCATCCCCATCCCCATCCACGTTCCCCATCCCCATCCCCGTTCCCCATCCCCGTTTCCCATCCCCATCCCCGTTTCCCATCCCTATCCCCGTTCCCCATCCCCATCCACGTTCCCCATCCCCGTTCCCTCGTCCCTATCCCTGTTCCCCCATCCCCATCCCCGTTCCCATTCCCTGTTCCCCCCTCCCCGTTCCCCATCCCCGTTCCCCATCCCCATTCCCCATCCCCATCCCCGTTTCGCATCCCCATCCCTGTTCCCCATCCCCATCCACGTTCCCCATCCCCATCCCCATTTCCCACCACCATCCCCCTATCCCCGTTTCCCCTCCCCGTCCCTCCTTCCCCATCCCTGTCCCTCCATTCCCATCCCTGTCCCCCCATCCCTGTTCCCCCGTCCCTCCACTCCCATCCCTGTCCCCCCATCCCTGTCCCCCCATCCCCATCCCCGTCCCCATCCCCGTCCCCATCCCGGGCTGTCCTTACCCGGCTCTGCCGCTCCCGCAGCCCCGGCGCTGGAGCCGGAGGGGGAAGAGCCGCATTTCCCCTGCTCCAGCTCCTGTCCAGCCCCGAGAAATCCTCCGAACCCCCCCGCAGGCTGCCAGCGAGCCCCTCCCGACCCCCAAAACCGGCAGCCGAGCGCGGGGTGCGTTTGGGGGCAGCGGGAGGGCTCTGCCACCCGCGGGCTCTGTCCCCAGGCAGAAGGGGAGCCCGGGGTCGCATCGCGCCTCTCCCCGGAGAGCGAGACCCCCGTGGGGGCTTTTCCTCCGGCTGGCTCCGAGTCAGGCCCTAAAATCGCTCCCTGGTGGGAAGATGGGGCTGGAAATCCAGGCTGCGAGGGGAGCCCCGTGTTGGGATCACTCCCTCCTGAACTCCCCGGGGTGCTGCTGGGCAAGAAGGGGACGAAGTATTTTGGGGTTTTGAGTATTCTGCGATGCAACAAGTGCGATCCAAGTGAGGCAGAGCTCTCCCCGCTCCTCCCCGCACCCTCCCTGCGCTGTCACACATTCAAACATCACTCCCAGCGCCACCTCAAGCGTTTTCTCCCCAATTTCTGGGGGCTCAGAGCAGCTCCGAGCTCAGCCCCTCCTCATCAGCATGCACAGAGCATCGTGCTCATAATAATGGATCTGAATCCTCTGTTGAGGCTTTTCAATTAGAGCTGGGTGCTTGAGTCAGACGTGTGAACACGGGGATAAAAAAAAAAAAAGCGAGGCAGAGCTGCTGCTGGCATGTCAGGCTGGAATTCAATCTGCTGATGTATTTATGGGCATGGGTTGCTAAATGCGAGCGAGACTCCAGCCTGCTCTCGCCATGACAATGGGAAGAGTCATCTGATAAAAATAGAATTTGGCATGACAAACAGCCAAGGAGAGGAGCTTCGGATCACCTGCTCGGCAAACACGCCCAGAAAATGCCCACAATTTATTGCCCAGCAATGATCCTGCCGGGAATGGCAGCTTGAAGCCAAATGGGGTTAATTTAAAGGAATTACCTTTATTTTATTAGAATTTATTGGCGGTTTGTGCTAGGGAAAATGTTGCTGGATAAACACGGCGGTGCCTAAGTTGCCCTGAAGAAAGCAGCGCTTTTCCTGTAAATAAACACTCTGGGAAAAAAGGAATTTTACCGGGATCTGTGCTGGGAGACAGGCAGGATTTTCAAAAGGCTGGTTCAATTCTTCACCCGCTCGAGCCAACAGCGCCGTGTTGGGGCTGAATGGAGGGAACACAAAGCCTGGGAGAGCATCCCCTGAAATCCCGATTTCAGCGCCCCATTCCCCTGGGCAGAGGGCAAAGAGCACAGGGAGAAGAGCTCCTGGCACCCATGGGTGGCACAGAGACCTTTGGTGGCACGGGGACAGCACCCCACAGGGGTGGGAGAGTTTCTTCTCTTTGGAATTCTTCTGTGTCTCCTTTTGCTGGATGGAATATCTGATGGTCCGCGCGCTTGTGACATTTTTGACGTTGACATTGCGGAGCGGAAGGGGAGCTGAGATGGAGATAAAAGCCCCAAAATGAGGGATTTGGGCTGGTCCTGTGTGTCCTCGTGGCCGGGAAGGACAGTGGGATGTGCTGGGATGAGCACTCCCAGCAGGACAGGGAGTGACGCTGCCCCTCGGGGTGCTGTGTCCCGCTCTGGGTCCCAGCACGGTGGGGACAGGAGCTCCTGGAGGGGTGTGAGGGTGGGGAAGGGCTGGAGCAGCTCCGTGCCCAGCAGGGGCTGAGGGAGATGGAGCTGCTCGGCCTTGAGTGGAGCCCCAGTGAGAGGGGCCCTCAGCCCTGCCTGCCCCTGGGTGTCCTCATGGATCCCTGGGTGTCCCTGGGTGTCCTCATGGATCCCTGGGTGTCCCTGCCTGTCCCTGGGAGTTTTTGGGTGTCTCTGAGTGTCCCTGGGTGTCCCCATGGTTCCCTGCCTGTCCCTGGGTGGCCCTGGGTGTCCCTGGGTCTCTCTGGGTGTCCCTGGGAGTCTCTGGGTGTCTCTGAGTGTCCCTGGGTGTCCCCATGGATCCCTGGGTGTCCCCATGGATCCCTGGGTGTCCCTGGGTGTCCCTGGGAGTCTCTGAGTGTCCCTGTCTGTCCCTGGGTGTCCTCAGGTGTCCCTGCTTGTCCTTGGGTGTCCCTGTCTGTCCCTGGGTGTCCCTGGGAGTCTCTGTGTGTCCCTGTCTCTCCCTGTCTGTCCCTGGGTGTCCCCATGGATCTTTGCCTATCCATGGGTGTTCCTGTGTGTCTCTGTCTGTCCTTGGGTGTCCCCAGGTGTCCCTGTCTGTCCTTGGGCGTCTCTGGGTGTCCCTTGCTGTCCCCATGGATCCCTGCCTGTCTCTGGGTGTTCCTGTCTGTCCTTGGGTGTCCCCAGGTGTTCCTGTCTGTCCTTGTCTGTCCTTGGGTGTCTCTGGGTGTCCCTGTCTGTTCCTGGATGTCCCCAAGTGTTCCTGCCTGTCCTTGGGTGTCCCCATGGGTTTCTGGGTGTCCTTGAGTGTCCCTGTCTTTCCCTGAGTGTCCCTGTGTGTCCCTGCTTGTCCCTGTGTGTCCCTGTGGGTCTCTGTCTGTCCCTGTTTGTCCCTGGGTGTCCCCAGGTGTCCCTGTCTGCCCCTGGGTGTCCCCGGGTGTCCCTGTCCTGCAGGGAGGGCTCTGCTCCAGAAGAACGTGCTGGGGCTGATCCCAGGAATTCCCCCTGAACTCCTGCCCTGGGCAGTGCCAGCCCTGAGCAGATCCCACAGAGGGTGTGGAGTCTCTCCCTTGGGGATATTCCCAAATTTCAGGATGCAATCCCACTCTGGGATGACCCCTGTGCTCCCTTCCAACCCGCCCCATCCCAGGATTCCATGATCCATGTCCAAACCCCTCCCAAATCCCCCAAATTTGGCTCCAAGCCTCCTTATTCTGCCCCACCCAGCAACTCCATGTCCTGGCACGATCCCTGGATGGGTTTTCCCCCGGGAATGCTGAGGATGGGGAAATCCTGGCACCAGCCCAGCTCAGCTCCTGCGAGTGTGGCACGGGGGAGCTCAGGAGGCTCCTCCTGCCTTTGGAATCTGCCCGAGGCAGCAGGGATGAGCTGGATCCGTATTTTTAGAAGGAAAAAACTCCTGGAGAACTTTAGCAGCAGCTTTTCCCAGTGGAGATTGGCATTAAGGAGGAGGAATGAGGGGTGTGGAATCATCTCCAGGAGAGTTTTGGGTCCAAACCTGGCTGGAATTGGATGGAAATGTTGGAATTGGAGCTTACTCGGATTAAGGACTGGAACAGGACAATTGAGATCCCTTTAAACCCCAAACCAGCAGAGAGACAGAGGAGCAGAAGATCCTTGGGTTGCTCCCAGGCTCTGGAATTGTTGATCTAAAAATTCACTGTGGGCAAATCCATATTTTTAGAAGGAAGAACTCCTGGAGAACTCATGGCAGCATCTTTTCCCAGGGGAGATGGCATAAAGGAGCTGCTGAGGAGGAATGAGGGGTGTGGAATCATCTCCAGGAGAGTTTTGTGTCCAAGCCTGGCTGGAACGGGGTGGAAATGTTGGAATCGAATCCTTAGGGCTGGATTGACTCTGATTAAGGAGTGGAGTAATTAAATCAAGATCCCTTTAAACCTCAGACCAGCAGAGAGACCGAGGAGCAGAAGGTCCTTGGGTTGTTCCCAGTTTTTGGAGCTTTTGCACCAGAAATGGATTGGATGGGAAGGATTTGACAGAGAATTTTCACATCCAGCAGAGGAATAAGGTCAAAGGCAATGGAAGCAGTGTGGAAATGAGGGGAAATCTGCAGAGCTTGGCCAGGCCGGGAACGGACGGAACCAAAACCATCCCAAGTGGTGAAGGAGCAGCTTTATTTAAAAAAAAAAATCGATTTGGAGGCTTTGGAAAAGAGGGAAGCAGTTCCTGGTTACACAGAGGGTTGGGGCTGGAGATTTGTCCATTCCTCATTCCCACAAAATTCCCCAAAGTGCAGGATGGCCTTGGGAAGATGCCAATCCCTGCGAGACACAGCATTTCCAGTCACTGAGGGATCCAATCCCAACTCCTGAGGGATCCAATCCCAGTTCCTGAGGGATCCAATCCCAACTCCTGAGGGATCCAATCCCAGTTCCTGAGGGATCCAATCCCATCTCCTGAGGGATCCGATCCCATCTCCTGAGGGATCCAATCCCAGTTCCTGAGACTCAGTCCCAGCCTTTGCCTGGAATTCCCACCACATTTTCCTCTAAGGAATTTAAAATACTGATTTTTAACATGACCAGCCTGAGAAAAAGGAGACGAACGGGATGAG